TTAGTTACATTGATGTTATTTATTTATGGTGAAACAGTGGTGGAATATCGCTGTTGCTTTCGTATAAATGAAGCGGACATACCTGCGTGGCCGCGATCTAATCCTGTTTACATAAAGTAAACCTGCTCCCGAGCAGGTTTACTTTATCTGTTGCTATGACAGCAAGTCCCGGATGAGCTATGGAGAACCGAACGATCCAGGATCACGCGAAATCGTCAACAATCAAATCCAGCTAACTTACTTAGCGAGGTACGAAGAACGGACCCCTGGCCTACATTTACACATTGCAGAATTCCATCACCTTCATATTAACAGAAGGTTGGCAGAGATTCAGATCACGAGCACATCGTAAACCACAGTGCTTCACATATGGTGTCATGGTGCCTGGGAGTTAACATTTCTTTTGAGATTTATCTATGTTTGAGTTTTGTTTTGTAAAATTGTCAGTGACTGAACGGATTCAAGTGCAGACTCTATGTTCAGAATTATTTACAATAAACACCAAGTGATATTTACAAAATTAATCCTTAGGGAGGAGGGAAAGACACGCTATACTCCTCTCCATGCCATACTGGTACAACATACACAAAGTTCTAAATTTATGCTCAGGAATCCAGAGAAGGAAACAGGGACAGGTTCAGGGAAATCTAGATACAAGAAAACAGGCGATTAGAAACAAGACAAGATCACAACAAACACAAGCATAGACTAGAGCCAGGGCAACACTTAACACAGGTTGCACAACAATCCAGCAACAAGAGATGCCAAGCTGCCGACTTAAGTAGTGGCCAGAGAGTCAAGGTTAACGAGCAGCAGGTGAGTAATCAATCACAGGTGTGTGGGTCAAGGGCGGGAACCCGTAATGAATTCTGCCCAGATAGAGAAATAATGATAAATAACACATGATCCTGAGTGAGCTTGCCAGGGAGACAGGGACATGACAAAATTGATTGTATAAGTTATTCTTTTTACCTCTTTTGTGGCTTTGTGTATATTTAGTTCATCATTTGTGTCTCACTATTCATCACTGTTGTAGTTAATATTTAGTTTGTTGAGTGGTTGCTTTAATTTAGTAGAAGTTTAGAACTCTTGTCTTTTACATGTGGTTCTTTGTGGGTTTATTATATTAATCTGAGTTTCAGTTATTGTTAGTTATGTACAAGTTGCTTCTACTTAGTACTTTTGTGTCTCAGCCTCGTCTGCATTTCTCCTTCCATGTTCACCTCTCTAGCCCTTCTGTCCTCTATGTCAAATTAACCTATTTCCCATTCAGTTGTGGATTCCTATTTTATTTTGGTAACTGTTGTTCTCAGTGTCTTGTCTTATATTTACATCCTCTGCCTCATAATTTATACTTTTCAGCCATGCGTCCTACCTGCACTCTCCCCTCATTATCCTATGAGTGTATTTGAACTGCATTTGAATTCATATTCTAAGTCCTGCTTTTGGGTCCACATCCTACCTGCCATGCATAAAATCCATACATCCATGACAACGTGCAATATTAAAATAATATATTATGGAATTTTTTTTTTTTTTGCTTTGTTTCTCTCTTCAGGTGCTCACATTTTACAGATGAGAGAAGGCTGTGAATGGAATGAAAAAACTGGAGAGGTGACTGGATTTTTGCAGTACGTTTATAACGGAGAAGACTTTGTTGAGTTTGATCTGAAGACACGGACATGGATTGCACTGAAACCAGAAGCTAACATTACTAAACAGAAATGGGATACTGACAGTGTTAGAACAAACTTCAACAAAGACCTCCTCACTAACATTTATCCAAAGTTGATAAAGAAGTTTTTGTCCTATGGGAAAAGCATCCTGCAGAGAACAGGTACAGTCACACAACCTGATATGGTTCCATGGATGCAGTAGTGTTTATTTTGTGTTGCACAGTCTTTGAAAAAACAGTTTTATGGCAAAAAATTTTGGCTTATTTTGTATTTACTGTAGTCATTTTTTAGAAGGTAACTCTGAAAGAGTCTAGGTCCACACATGTCAATCTGTTATTGATCATTTCAGTTTAAATTTTTTTGTCAATAAGATTTTCAGCCACAAAGAAAAAAAAACCCAAAATTAATAGTGATAGTGCTGGTAGAAAAAAATATTAAGTATTCATTGAGATGAGGTCTTCAACTAAGGGAGGGTTGTTTGCAAAAAACAGATAGCTAATGCAAGGACACATTATACAATAATTAAGAAAACCATGTGCAAGGGTAGTTGTAGATAATATAACATTTTGAAATATTGTAATGAAATCAGTTTCATACTTTTTGTTGCTCATTCCATTTATAGGCCATTTAAAGTATTTTCCCAGGTTTAGTATGAACAAGAGGTACAGCTAATGTAAAAATGTATGGTGATGTGTCTTCAGATCCCAGTTATCTCTGTACAGAAATCCTGGACCGGCTCTCCATTCAAAGATCCTAATTTAAGCTGATGGTGGCGGGGATTTGCCCAGCAACTAACTACCTTAATGTGAATGTCTACCCTGCTGTTCCCTAGACAGTGTTGGAGAGTAACGGATACTTGTACCGGCGTTACGTATTTTAAATACAAAATATGAGTAACTATATTCCGTTGCAGTTACCATTTAAAAAGGTGATAATCAGAATACAGTTACTTTGTTGAATTAAAGGGATTGCACGGCAGTCTTTTCCTGTTTCATATGTTAGGCTGTCCCCTCTCTATTTTTGGTAATTCCATGCCAGTGGAAACCCAAACAAAACACTGAGAGCCTCTAATGCCTGTGTCTCAATCTCGGGGCCCATGTCACCTCTGCTTGCGGCATAATGATGTGAAGAAATATAATTTTTAATTATTATTTAAAAAATGATTTAAAATGAACGCAATTTGAGCAGAGTGTTACAGGCATAGCCCTAAAGAATGTAGCCTCATGGGCAGTGTAGTCCGTGCTGCAGGGAGAGAAAGCGTGGGACTGGCCCTCCCGTTATGTGTGAGTGTGAGGCAGGGAGAAACAGGAGAGTACAAGTTGTCACCGACCAGAAATGAACACAATTACTTAAAGGTTAACTGTTTATTATCAGAACCAAATTTTCATACCATATATACATGCATAACAAAAAACTCACTTTGGGGGTCATGAATTTAGCCACAATTCAATGGCTCTCATGCTAGCCCAAAAATAAACAGCAGTAAACTTTGATGAAAGCTGATTAGAACAAGCAGAATCTAGCGAAGCACAAAGAATATGTGGAGCACTATTAGGTCAACCTGAATGGAAAATAGACTATCAGTGTTGAGTGTTGAGTGTAACGCGTTACTAAGTAAGTAGAGTCTCCGTCTTTAAAAAAAAATTATTTATTATTTAAAGAGTTTAATTTCTATTGTTTGTCCACCCAAGGTTTATAGGGATTTTAAGAAGTATTTAGTTAAATTACTTATTGAGTAATTAAGTTACTTTTCAGACACAGTAATTAGATAAGTATTTTAAATACAATATTGATTAAGTAATTAGTAATTAATTACTTTTTTAAAGTAACTTACCCAACACTGCTAACAATTGTATGCACACAGAGAAACCAGAAAGGTTGCAACAGACAATCTCAGAGCAGACAAACCAGACACAAATGGAGACAAAGATGGGAAGTAAAGCCACAGGCAAAACACACATTTTATCATTTCCCAGATTTATTGGGGATTTATTGTATTCATTAGTTCAAGATGTAAAAACAAAAATAGTGACCATATCTATATTTCTTTAGGGTTACTTTTAACTTAAAGAGTACAATTGTTAGGTTTTGTATTGTTGATTGTTATTTATGCTTAGAAATATCTACTTATATATGCTTAGAGTTTTATAATTAGTTTTAGATTGGTAGAGGTTTGATCTTTGATAGTCTGCAAACTTTGTGTGCATTAGAGAGCACTCTGGGAGCATGGGAGAGGTCGTACCTTGTCTTATTGTTTTATGGTAGGATTAACATAGCTATATCTGTCTTAGTCTAAGTGCCTTTTGGTTTGATGAACTGTTGGATTTCCAGACCAGCAGGTTTAGGGAAGTC